CCCCGAGCGGGCGCACGAACCGCCCGCAGCCGAGGAGAACCCACCAGGGCCCGTCCTGCCCATCTGAGGAGCTCCCCCCAACCCCCTCTGCTCTCGTTTATTTATTGACAATAATATTTTATGGGCCACCAGTGGTTATTCAGTTCTGGGCAGGGGAGCAGGGGCTGCCTTGTACAGAGGATTTTACCCGGTGTTGCTCACCCGGGGCCAGGAGCCTTCCACTCACCCAGCTGCCGTGGGTCACGTCCAGCAGCTTTTCCCAGGAGCCACTCGTGTAGCCCCCTCCCCACAGCCCCCCAGCACCTCCCCACGCGCTGGCAGGGACCGTTGTCACCGTTTGGCCGATGCCAAACGTGCCACCCATGCGCTGGGACACGTCAGACATGGAGCCTCCTGCTTCCCGTGGCAGCTCCTTCCCATCCTCCATTCCCGCCTGAAGACATCTCTTGCCCTTGTCAGCTTTCAAGGAAAAAAGACTTTCTTTTTCTTTTTTCCCCCTTTTTTGGGTTATTTTTCCCTGCAATGACTGCTCAGCAGGCCCTGGCACAGCCTGCGCCTCCAGGTGATGCTGCCCCTTCGGCCAGTGCAGCCAACACAGGGGGCCAGGATGGATCAGGAAGGACTTGGAGCCTGCTGGGGGGCTCTCCCTGCACAAGGGAACGAGGCTGCAGCCCCCACATTGGCCTAGAAACTTGGGGCTGTTGGATTTAAAGAGTTGGAGCCCTTCACAGGCACAGCATGGAGACCCGTGTCCGTCTGTCCATCCCCATGCAACTGGCTGGCCTCCAGGAAGAGTCAAGAGAACCCCCTGCCATGTCCCCCAGACAGGCAGGAAAAGCACTTTCCACCCCTCAGAGACCCCCTGGTTCTCCCCCTGCTTTGCCTCCTGCCAAAACTGGCCCCTTTGAAGGTCCCTGCGCTGGGTCTTGAGGGACATGACTGGGGCAGGGGGCTGGGGGGGGGATCCTCTGTCCCCAGAGGCTTTGTCCCTTGCCCTTGCTCCAGCTTGATCCCAGCCAAGGAGAAGCATCTCCCCTCTGTCCCCTTGGACTCTGGGGAAGAAAAAAATCTCATCTTTTTGAGGAGAAAATCGAGGAGAGGGAGAGTGAAGAGCTCCTCAAGGGAGGGTTCAATCCAATGGACAACCCTGGAGCTGCTTGCAGGGGAAACATCCCAGCTGGGAAGCAGGGAAAAAAGGAGGAAGGAACAGAAGGAACTTGCAAGCTGACAAAGTGCTGTCATTGTTCCGGGGGGTTTGTGGCTCTTCTTGTTCACCTGCTGGTCACCTCCCTCTGTCCAAAGGTGTTTCAGGGGGCTGAGGCCCCTTTGCTGCTCTCACCACCTCATCACGCGGTTCCAGCGGAGCCTTATCCAGGCAAAGCAGCTCTTCCGCCCCAGCCCGAGTCCCTGGAGCCCCTTTTCTGGGGCAGAGTGGAAGGGAAAGGGCTGCTTTCCAAACCTGGGTGTGGTGGAGCTGACACCCATCCCAGCAGCAGCTCCCACTGCCCTCAGCCAGCACACAAGGGCTACGCTGGGAGGAACAAGCCTTGCCCCACGTTGGGCGCCTCGTGGGGAACTGCCACCTGCTGGTGCCTGTGTGGCCGTGGGGCTTTTTCCACTCCCCCACAAAACAGAATGACTCTGAGCTGCAAAACCCAAGCAAACAGTGATACTTGAATAGGTTCCAATATTTTTTTCCCCCCCCCCTTTTTTTTTTTTTTTGTTTAATTTTCAACAGCCTCAACGCGCCCTCCCTGGCTCTGTGTCCTGTCCCTTGGCCAGGGTAGCCAGGTGAGGACCTGCTTGTGCCAGGGAACTCCTTGGGCAACTCCTTGGGTGAGCCCAGAGGCTCCATCAGCTGCCAGAATGAACCCTGAGCCGCGGGCGAGGACGCTGCCCTCACCACCAGCCCAGACCTCACAGGACTGGTTCTCATCCCACAGAGCTAATGCTGCTGTTGATGGTGCAATCAAAGTCTGTTCCTGCCCTTTGTCCTCATTCCTGTCCAGTTCCAGCTCCCTCTGTGACACCAACGCTGGTTCCTGCTCCGTTTGTTGCCGTGTACGAAGCCCAACAGCCCCATCACCTCCTCTCTGGTGCTACTGAGCTGCTGCAGGAGCTGTGGCCCCTCTGCAGCTCCAGCGACCCCCAGGTCCTCACCCTGGACTCTGCAACCCCCCCAGCCCCATCTCACACGGTCTAAGGTGGCTTTTGATTTTTAATTTTCCAGTGTGAATCCAAAGCTTGTCCTCCAAATATATTTTTTCCTCTCCTTGGACCTCTTTTTTCTTTTTTTTTTTTGTTCCTTTACCTGGTGATGACGCTGTATTTAAAGAGAATATTTAAGTGTAAAAATAAAACAAATGCTCAAACTTGCACAGTGTCTCAAAGGGGGGTAAATCCAGCCCAGTGAATTTCTCTTGGTGGGCATCTGGAATTCCTGCAAAAACAGGGAGGGCGGGGGGGGGGGTGGAAAAGGGTTTTCTCCTCCAGGAGGGGAGGGAGAAGCTCAGAGCTGGGCTGGTGTGTGAGCAGAGGGTTCCTGCCCCTGCTTTACACCCTAAAAATGCTTTTAAAAAGGGAAGTTCTCAAGTACTGTCTTGCCCTGGCTGTGGGTGGAGGAGGCAGAGGTGGGACATGGGGACATTTCTTGGTGCTGGTGTCCAGGAGGAGCCCCCAGGGAGATGGAGGAGCCTCCAAGAGAGACACCAGAGCCACTCACAGGCTTTTGTCTTGAATAACCCTCTGGAAGTCACTCCCACTCACTCAGCAGCTGGATATTCCTCAGGTGGTGCTGGGCAAGGGGGGGACAGGGGAGCTTAACCCTTCTGGGCAGCCAGGAGCTGCCACCGAAGCCCCCAGAGCCACCTGTGCCAAGTGGGAAGTGCAGGAGCAGAAGTGGACAAAGGCAGGTCTGGAGCTGGAGGCTGCTGGGGAGGTCAGAGCTGCCTTTTCATAGAATCATAAAGTTGGAAGGGACATTAAAGATCAAGTTCCACCCCCCCTGCCATGAGCAGCGACCCCTCCCGCCAGCCCAGGCTGCACAAAAACCTCCTCCAACCCGGCCTTAAAAACCTCCAGGGCTGGGGCATCAACAACCTCCCTGGGCAACCCATCCCAGCTCCTCACCACCTGAGAGGGAAGAATTTCTTCCTAATCTCTCACTTCAATCTCCCCTCTCTCAGTTTAAAACCATCACCCCTTGTCCTCTCACCATCTTCTCTGGTGAAAAGTCCCTCCCCAGCTTTCCTGGAGCCCCTTCAGGCACTGGAAGCTGCTCTAAGGTCTCCCTGGAGCCTTCTCTTCTCCAGGCTGGACACCCCAACTCTCCCAGCCTGGCTCCAGAGCTGCTCCAGCCCTCCCAGCATCTCCGTGGCTCCTCTGGCCTCTCCAACAGCTCCGTGTCCTCCTTGTGCTGGGGGCTCCAGAACTGGCCCCAGTTCTCCAGGGGGTCCCAGCAGAGCAGAGCAGAGGGGACAATCCCCTCCCTGGCCCTGCTGGTCACACTCCTGGTGACACAGCCCAGGACACAGTTGCCCCCAGGGCTCCAGGACACTCCGGTCACTCATGTCCAGCTTCTCATCTCCTCCCACCCCAGCTCTTTCTCCTCCCCCCAGCCTGGATCTGTGCCCAGGGTTGTGCTGACCCAGGGGCAGGAACGTGGCCTTGTTGGACCCCAGGAGGTTGGTTCTGACCCCCCTCCCCAGCCTGCCCAGCCTTCTCAGGATGGTGCCCCTTTCAGCCCAGTCCCTGCCAGCAGCTGAGTCCCCAGCCCAGTTTCCCCTCCATTAACCCAGGGAGGCTCCAGGACTCAGCAGCAGCCAAACCTGAGGTGGGAACTGCTGCCCCGAGGCTCCCAGGAAGGCCATGGAGGGATCTGGGGAGATTTTTAACCCTTCAGGGAGACGTTTGGCTGCTCGGGGGAGTAAAGAAATCAAGTCAAACCCCCTGGCAAGGCAGGAGAGTGGGACAAGCTGAGCTGAGAGCCCAACACGACCAGATCCTTCTGGAAGTGTCCACAGGGGGTGGAGATGCTCCTTCTCCCCTCCTGTTTTGCCAAGGGAGGTAAGGAGCTTCATGCTGAGCTCAGACAGACTTTTCAACCCCAACCATGGGCTGAGGGTCTGCAGAGGGATCTGGCCAGGCTGGATCCATGGGTTGAGGGTCTGCAGAGACCTGGACAGGTTGGATCCATGGGCTGAGGCTCTGCAGTGGGATCTGGCCAGGCTGGATCCATGGGCTGAGGCCAATTGCATGAGGTTCCACCAGGCTCAGTGCCAGGTCCTGCACTCCAGTCACACCAACCCCAGGCAACAATCAAGGTTTGGGGCAGAGTGTTTGGGAAGTGTCTGGAGGAAAAGGACCTGGGGATGTTGGTGATCAGGGGCTGAACATGAGCCAGGGATAGGGCAGCTGGCCAAGAAGGCCACCAGCATTCTGGACTGCATCAGGAATACTGTGACCAGCAGGAGCAGGGAAGTGATTATACCCTGGTGCTCAGCACTGGGGAGGCCACACTTGGAATCCTGGGGGCAGTTTTGGGCCCCTCATGACAAGAAGGACATGGAGGTGCTGAAGTGTGTCCAGAGAAAGGATAAGGAGCTGGGGAAGGGGCTGGAGCACAGGGAGAAGGGGTTGGAGCATGAGAAGAAGGGGCTGGAGGACAAGGAGAAGGGATTGAAGCACAAGGAGAAGGAGCTGGCCCTGGCACAGCCCCTGCTTCAAGAAGTCTCTTGTTTATTCCACACCACAGCAGCCAGGGGCTGCCTATAAAAAAAGTTGGGGAGGGAGGCACTACTGGGGTGGGAAGAGCCACCAGAGACCTGGCATGAGGACAGCTGAGCTGGGGGGGCTGTGCCACACCCCATGGCTCCCTCCAGCCTCCCCTCCTGTCCTGATGGTGAGGAGGGCAGGGAGTGAGGCTGAAGGCTACGCCTTGGTGGTGGCACCTTGAGAGGCTCCCAGGGCCGTGAGCTGCTGGATCTTCTGGCTCATCGTTTCCACCACGGCTGGAGGGAAGAGAAGGGGGGTGGGAGGGTCAGGATGCCCACCCTGCTTCATGGCGTGTTTCTCCTGCAGCGCCGGCTGGATCTTCTCCATCTGCCTGGTCAGGAAGTCGATTTTCCGCTTGAAAAAGTCTCGGGCGTCGTCTGTGCCCTGGGAGAAGGGAAAAGGGGGGGCAGGGAAGTGTAGGGGGGTTGGGAAAGGAGGCACAGAGAGCTGGGGTTGGGAGGGGGCTCTGGAGCCCCCCCAGTGCCACCCCCAGCACAGCAGGGGCACCTCCAGCAGGTCCCCCAGGATCCAGCTGGGGCTGGGATGGCTCCAGAGAAGGAGAATCCACCACCTCTCTGGGCAGCCTGGCCCAGGGCTCTGCCACCCTCACAGCAACAGGTTCCTGCTCAGAGAACCTGCAGGTTTGGGTTGGAGGGACCTTGAAGACCATCTAGATCCACCCCTGCCTGGGCAGGGACCCCTCCCACCAGCCCAGGCTGCTCCAAGCCCCACATCAGATACCTGGAACACTTCAGGGATGGGGCAGCACCTTGAAGATCATCTGGTGGGATCATCTGGGTGGGCTTGAAGGTCCTTCCAACCCAAACCATCCCAGGAGCTGAATTCTATGATGGTGGGTCTTGCATGATCACATGGTGTGACAATGGAATCATGGAATGGGTTGGGTTGGAGGG